GAAAAGTGTGCACCTGCCAAATTTGCACCATTGAAACTAACACAAACTAAAGATGAGCCATTAAATTTCACTTTGTCTAACCGTGCTCCATCAAATGATGCACCATTTAAATTAACAGATGAAAACTCCCCATTTGACATTGATAGCTGATCAAAAGAAATGCATTGTAAATTTAACTTATTTAATAGACCAGTGTCACTTGTCAGACGTATATTATCAAAACTTAATTCATTCAAACGAATTATATCATCTAAATTCGTTGTTCTACATCCACCACTACAATTATTTCTACCAATTAATTGCTTTTCTTTAAGGAATTGTATAACGTCTGCCTTACGTATTGTATCCCATTGACGATGAGCAGCACGATAATATGCATTTGCAAATGCCCATGGATTTTTTGTATCGTTGAGATAACCATCTTTATCTAATTTATAAATATTATTTAAAAATTCATCATAAAGTGTTTGTTGTCTTAATTGTGTTAATTGTTCAAAATCGAATTTTTGTTTTTTCTCTGCTTGTGCTTTTTGTTGTTGAGACCCAATTGCAGTATAAATAGCAAGAGCTATGGGTATAGCAACCGAAGATATAATAGTTAATATATCTTTTAATGTAAAATTGAAAAACGATCGTTTGTTAAGATCTACCATTGTCTCAATTTGATTTAAGAATGAACAGTAAAGTATTGTGATGTGTTCGAATATAAAGAAAATACAATTGCTGCTCTTAACTAATTTTTCTCTCCTTTTTCCATTTCTCTGTTATTTAACAACATATTGAGTAACAGTTTAATTATATATCATGCATCAGTGTTCTGATTTTTACAGTGGGAGATATCCTATCTAAATAATTTCGCTGAAGTCATGACAAGCGCTTCAATGTATGATAATTTTAAAATCATAGGTTACTAAAAAAATAAAAGAAATTAACAAGTATTCATTACAAACACAACAATAATTAGAAAAATAGTTTCTTGTTACTTTCAGTATATTGAACATTGAATTTGATCTACAATAACAAGAGTATATAAATACTGATAAATGAAGATCGATGGGAGACGAAGAAAGAAGAAAACTTATACTGTTGATTTAAATATCGGAGATTTTTTTGTTTGTCTAAATACGACACAAAATCATAGAACTAAATTAATTCTCCGAAATAACGAAAAATATATTTTGACAGTAAACTGTGATATGATCTGGGCATATACATTACAAAGTTCGACAAAAAAAAGAAAATGAATACTCTAGACTTGATGAACTGTTACTTTAGTCAAATGATATCTTTCATATGAACAGTTCTAAATAAGTTTTTTTCTTCTCGACTTTTTTTAATGAAACGGATAAAATAGATATGTGACTATTCGGCAAGTTTGATATACATCTCTAAGAAAGAGCATCAGTGATGGCAAGGATCTGACATTCAGTCAGGAGAAGATCTATATAGAAGAAGACAAAAGTAAATGGTTGAGTAGTTAAATTCAAGTTTCAGGTTAGACACTATTGTATATTATTACCAGAAAATACCTAACATATTTATTAGCATAAATATTGACACATTATCGCCATATTAAAATGATCAAATACTTGTAAAATTGTCTGTTATTTTTTGATAGTTACAATGTGAAAATATCGATGCGATTCGATAATAAATTAGCTACTTATACGATACTATTCGTTTACTTACATAAAGCTACATAACAATATATTTTTTGACCATTTGTCATCATCTTTCTCGTATACTTAAGTAGTTTTATTTATTGTTTATATTTACAAAAATATTAAGTGGTGTATCACAGATATTCAATTTAACAATATGAATTACGATGTTTTACTTTTCTTGTTACATTAGATACTATTCGTTTTTCATTTGTTAATGAAATGTTATGTTCAGGTGTTGCAGAAGTATTCCTTGTCCCAGTACGACGGTATCTTATAGTTATAACTGTAACAACAATGATTATCATAATTCCAATTGAAATACTAATTATAATAATAACTATAATTAAACGTTCATTAAATAATTGTCGATGAGATTTTTCTGATGGAGGATAATTCTTATTTGTATGATTGTTTTTATATAATCGATTTATTTCTTTATTTAAAATAATTGATCGTTGATTTAATTTGGCAATTAATTTTGATGAAGATTTATTTGTATCGATTGAATTTGTAAATGTACAGTATAAAATAAAAAGAACTATAGTACAAAATGCATGCATATTGCCTATAATAAAATCATCAGACTTTCATTTATATTTATGTCAAACAGTGTAATACAACTTACAATTACAAAAAAGAAATCGATGGAGAGAATAGAAAATGTCTTCGTTTGTGTGTTGTTGTGTCTGTGTGTAAAAGAGCTCTCGAAATACAATCGATGAGTGAGAAGAAGAAAAAGAAACAAATACAATCCTTGTTGGAAAGTAAATACACCATTGAATAGACAAGTACTATTAAGTATAAATTTTGTTCTATTCTATTCATTTTATTGCATAATCTCATATTTTATATTAAATAGGCATAAATAGAACACATTACTAATTCTTCTTGTTGCTTGTTCTTTTTAATGATGTTTCAAATTATTGTATTTTGTGGAAAACAAAAACAGAAAAAAAAGGAACAAATAGTTAACAAAAAAGAACAAAAATGTGAGTGTATTTGAAGGTAGATATTGGAAGGTGGATAACATTTGTTAGTCTTCTTATATGTTTTTTAGTAAAGAAATGATTCCATTCAATAAATTTTTTTTTCTTTTTCTTGTTTTGTGTAGCAAAAAAAAACAAAAAATGGTAGAAAACAACTGTTAAAGATTTGAAAAATGATGTTTGTTAATGAATAATCACTTTGCATTTGATACATCATCAAAATTTTCAACAAGATCTTTATAAAGACAAAAAAAATATATATGTATAAATTCGATCAAACTTATATTCTATCACATACCGGGTACGTCATCATCACCTTCAGCACCTGTTTGTTCATTTGTTGTTCCATCTCCTGTTTGTTGTTCACCATGTGAACCACCTCTACGTCGGCCAAGTTCACTTGCTAGAACACTATCAGTGGACATACCCATTTGTGACATGATTGTTGGTAACATATCTTGTAGAGCTAAAACACAAAGAAAAATAAATTGATAAAAGAAAATATGAATAAATATTCTTACATTTTGTGTCCGAAGGGCCACTAATAGCAAATGTATTTGAACCGAGTGATGCTTGCACTTTAGGATTGGCAAAATGAATAACTTCACCATTGTCTTTAAACATGTTGACCTATGAAAAAATTAAAGGAAGATAAAGATCATTAGTCAATGAATTTACAAAACAAACCTCTTCAATGCCTTGAATATTATTGGTTGTAAGTTTTTTCAATGAACTTTGAAGTTTTTTATCATCTGCATTTGCGGGTCGATGAATAATTTTCTTCTTTCGGCGAGCTGTGCCCTAATATTTACATATAAAATATTCTTTCGAATTGGGAAATCAAACTAAACTAACCTTGCCACCGATTTTGATAGCATTAGCACTTTCGGCAAGTTCTTTTAATTTCTTTTGATTAACTTGAAATACTGGGGCTGCATCTGTTGTTGATGTTGTCGTCTGTGCAGAGGACATGAATAATATTTTGATCTTTAGTCTGAAATAAATTTAGAATATTTTCCTATGATTATTAATAATATACAAAAAAAAGTATTAATAATAATAATAATAGTAATAGTAATAATACACAATTATATTGCATAGATAAGTCCGATAGACAAAAACACTGTTGATGAACAAAGTAAATTAATATAGTAATAATAAAGTCAAATAGAAATAACGTACGCAAATATTCTGAAAGCGCAGGGCAAGAATGAATTAATTAACAAATTTAAAACACGAAACAAAACTATCTGACATTTGCTAAGTTTTTGATGATGTGATTTGTAAAGCTCGTTTAGCTTTACGTTTAAAAAAACAACAGGTTGCTGCAGATGATTGTTCAAAATCTTTACTAGAATTATTTAGATTTAATATATGATTAGACGAATAATTAGATGTTGTTGGTGGTGCTGCTGCTAGTGGAGATGCAACTACACTTAGTCGTTTAGCTGGTATTGGTCGATGTTTTTCAACTGTTGAACGTGTTGTTGGTAGATTAACTGGAAGTTTTGTTGTACTTGCCATTGAAAGTGTTGTTTTTGAGCCGCCATTTAATGTAAGAGTCGTGGCATTTGTTGAACTTAAGGGTAATTGATTATGAGGATATATACTACGTGATATGATTGTACGATTACGAGATTCATTGTTGTTGTTATTATTAATACATGTTGTTGATGATGATGTACAATTTATAGTATTATTTATTTTCTTTGTAGGAAGATTTGTTGTTATGGTATCAGTACCAGTTGCATTTGTTGTTTTAGTACGTTTTGAACGATGTTCTTGTAAAGGTTTAATCCAATCAAAATCATCATCATTGACAAGATTATTTTCATTGAGAGCAATACGAAATAATTGACGTAATCCATCATACTAAAATAAATTAGTTAGAATAGATTTTTTCGAAAAAAAAATAATAACACATACATCAGGATTTTGAGAAAACTCCATTTGACGTACAGTTCGCAAGTAAAGGAGAAATTGACGTGGATAACTATCACACAGAACATCATGTGTTGTAAAACGTTTCGTATCACCTATTTTTTGATAACGTTCTTTTAATGTATCAGCTTTTAAACCTTGCCACTAGAATAAATACAAAATACTTCAGTTTTTTTTCTCATTCAACTACTTATAAAAATAAAGTGATAAATAGAATCAACATACCGGTAGACTACCTCGTAGGAAATACATAAGCATATAACCTAAAGCTTCCAAATCATCTCGACGACTTTGTTCTCGACCTAGAAAATTTCAATAGTATTCTTTTTTTCAACTAATAAACATACCGAGATGAGTATTAATAGACATATATCTAGCAGTTCCTAGAGAAAAAAATTGAAATTATTGTATAAATAAAAAAACGCTTCTTTATTTTTCTTTACCAGTTAAACTTTTATGTTCACGATATGGTATATGCATTCCATCTGTTGTTCGATATTCTTTTGCTAATCCAAAATCTACAATATGTATAATATGTTGACGATTTGTACTTCCACGTCCAATTAAAAAATTCTCTGGTTTAATACTATAAAAGAAATATTTTTATTTGAAAAACTATGAAATATTCTTACTCTCGATAAATAAGATTTTTCGAATGAACATATTCCATTCTATCTAATAATTGTAATCCAATCATTAGAACAGATTTTAATGAAAAACGTCTTGAACATAAATCAAATAAATCTTCTAATGATGGACCTAATAATTCCATAACAAGTGCATTATATGAACCGGTTTGGCCATAAAAGTATACATTTGGTACTCCATGAAATTTTCCTAAGAGTTTATAAAATCGATATTCATATGCTAATTGTGGTGTACGAGTTAAAATTTGTTCTAATTTAATTGCAACATATTCATGTGTTTCATTATTTCGACCTAAATGTATTTCACCAAAATTTCCTGAACCTAATAGACGACCAATTTGATAATGTGAATTTAATGAACGATTTGTAGTCATTCGAATAATACCATATAGACGAAATGTTCTTTTTCAAATTGTATATGTATTAATATGTATTTTGATAGTGATAATTGATTAATAGTAGAAGAAAATAATTGCTATCTGACATAATAATTAGAATAAAACAAAGCTTGCAATGATGAATAGACTCTACAAACAAAGTAAATGAATATTTATTTTTGTTTTCTTTTTTTTTCCTCCCAGAATTAAAACAAAAAAAATAAATGGCCGATAGAAGAAACAGAAAATGAATCTCCAAGAACATTTTTAATGTCAATGGTAAACATTGGATGGATACATGGTTTTATTTCATGTATTTTTTTCATAAGAATTAATGAAGAAATTTATTAATTAAATTTCATTTTAATAGTTTTTTATGTTTTAATTTGTATAAAATATCTTGAAAAAAAAAAGATTTATTTTTTATATATAGTCGAAAGAGGTCGCCACTTACTTATGCTTTATTACAAATTTTGATGATTTACCAGATCGGGTACTTAAAGTTAATCAGAAAACTTGAAAAACGCATTGTTACCTTTCTTTATGTCATACAAAATAAGAATAGAAATACATTACATAAAGCTTCTTTTTTACGTATATTGCAAACTATGATAACGTTAGATAAAGGAACAAAAGACATATTTTTATACTGCAGGAGCCTTTTATCTTTTCTCTTTGTTTCAAATGAATTCTCTCTGTTATTACTAAGATTTTGTTTGATCATTTTTTATTCAGAACTCATGAATATTATTGATAAATAGTTCAGGTTATCGGAACAATATGTTTTTTACTTGAATAAGATGAATTAATGTTAGCATATACAAATTTCGTGAAAACAAAAAAGAAAAATTAATCAATAATCATATGATCAGCTTCAGTATTATTTCCGCCACGACGAAAAGATGGTGCTGAGACATCCATCATTGCTTTGAAATGCTAAATATATTTAATAAAGAAAATTTGAAATGAAATCAATTGAATTATTTTTTACTTCGGAGTTTTTAAATCCAAGATAAAGTGAGAATAGAGCATGTAATGATTGAATACGAGATTCATATACTGGAATATCAAGAAGTGCTATAAAACAAAGAAAATAATGAAACAACTTATAAAATACTTTTTTTTACATACCACATGCAATATCTGTATATGTTGTTAAATCTGTATCAATATCAGCAGATGGTACAGACGTCTAGAAAAAAAACTAATATAACCAAGGAAAAAAAAGATTTTTTTAATTATTAGACCTCTTTAAGAAGATCTTCAAATTGCGTTGGCCATTCTTGCATTAAATCATCAATATTTGGCATAGGTCTAAAGAAAAGCGTCGAATAGTTTCATATATAAATCATATTTAAATTACTTTCGATATTGAACAGTATCGGTGGTTTTAGCTTTTTGTAATTTACTTATATTAGTAATCCATTCGTCGATAGCTTTAGGATTTTTATCGGCATTTGCTACAGTTCTTATATTCTAGGGAAAAAAAATGTAAAACAAGAATAGATTTTAATTAATAACAAATGTTTTATAATATTACAGTTGGTAAAGTAGATGAAATAGATTGTTTTGATGTATATCTCATTTTAAGACTAAGTACATGTGGATCACTTTGTTTTGATGATGGTTCATCAAGAACAATAAGACCAAGATTATCTACTTTACCATCAGGTCTCGGTACCTTTAAAAAAATGCAAATCTTTGTTTTAAAAAAATTTTAATTTCTTTATCAAATACGAACTTTAAGAAAAGCATCAATATCACCAATAGCTGGTACATATTCAGGAATAAATGGTTTTAATTTTGTTTCAAGTACAATATCTCGTGGTTGATATCTTTAAATAATTAATTTTTGTTTTTAATAACAAAAACAAAAGTATTCGGAAGAAAAATTTACTTATCAATATATTTAAATAAATCTTTCACTTCTAATGGTACAGGTAAATCTTGATACATTTTAGGATCGTAAGCATCCGTATCTGGTTGTTTATATTCTCGTTGTCTAGTTGCACCATTTGACATTTGTGATGATGCACCATCGGACTCAGATTCTTCTTGTGTTTCATCATTATCATTATCATCATCATCGTGATGATCACCCTACAATTTAAATATGAACAAAAGGAAAGACAAGTTCTTAAATAAATGAATAATAAAAACATACTGTAGGACTAACAGGTGATCGTTGCGGGATAGGTATAGGTCGTTCTCGAAAAATTTGTCCCATGCCTGCATTCATATTGGAATCTGGTGCTAAAAAACATCAGCAAAAATGAATATATTTTGATAATAAATTAATAATTAAAACAAGACAATAGCAAGAAATAACAATATTTAATTTTAAAAACCTGTAAAATTTAAATGATTTCCACGGTGTACAGTTGCAATATTAATAACTTTAATTTATATGAGTGTTATTAATGATTTAAATTATTAATTCAAACAAACCTGGAGGCTTTTTAGTAGATGGTACGGGTGTATATATACTAGCTACATCTTCATCATCCACAACCTTTTAAAGAAAAAGAAAATCGTGTAATTAAAAACAGTTAAGAGACTTCTTACATCCAAGGATTCATCATAAGGTCGATCTTGTACGACACAAAACTAAAGAATATATAAAATTGAATTCTTTTTTTTTCTATTTTCTTTTGTCTTACTCCATCTTCTTCGTCGCTCATTTTTTTATAATCGTCGATTGATTGACTGATTGATTGATTATTGATTATTGAACAACAATTTATGGCTTTGACATATGTCTCGCTTCTATGCCTGGTGATACCTCTGTTTAACAACGAAAAGAGAGGTCACTACTAGAAAAAAGATCAATAATTGTTTTTTTAACGCGCTTGAAAAATTTTATGTTAATTAGTGAACTATTTTATTTAGCTTCTTTCATTAGAATGTTGGAAACCTTATTATATTAATCAGCTGCACTCTTAGAGATTTTTTTCTTTTAATTAATTCACTTGAAAGAAATTTGTTTTAAAAAATGTACAAGAGCAATGCTATAATATAACAGACTATGAAACAGTCTTCATAAAAATCTCAAGTCTTGAATCTAGGAAAGAAGATAACACACAAAGTAAACATCACTGAAAATGCTCATATTTCTCAATAATTTTTAACGACATAGAGCATTCAAAATAGAATGCAGTCGGTTACATTTTGAATAGCTCAGACGCAATACTAGTTAGCGAGATCGGGTTTTTACGGTTGATAAAAAAAATGTGAGAATATCCAGCTATGTAATAATCAACTAATTCTTCATGGTTTTATACATATTCCATTCAGGCGTTAACCTCAATTTACAATAATATGCTGAAAATATCCATACGCATTGGATTATTTCCTCGCGTATTCATTACATATATTATAGCCCATTTTCGACTGCACATTATTGTGAATAGAGATCCTCAGGAAATTGAGGTTAGCACTTGAATGGAACATATAGAAAACGATGAAGAATTAGCTGCTTGTTATATACCTGGATAATTGCAAATTTTTAATTATCAACCGCGAAAACTCAATCACACTAGCTAGTATCGCTCCCGAGTTATTATTTCGAAATATATAAGTTTAATTTAAAAACCATGTGTAAATTTAACATGCCATATACCATTGAAAAGACCATACGTGATACTACAAGAATTATCGTTTCATATTTATTTTAATTTATTTCCCTTCTGATATGAAATGATCGTGCTCAATGATGATCAACCTACGCAAACGTTTTTAGAGGTGTTTGCTGTGACACAAAAATTATAGTTCAAACTTTCTTGCTTCAAACAACAAAAAAATTGATTAATTTAGAGGACAACATTATGGTCTAACACTCAACTGAATATTTGTCTGACGATATTAAACTTCGGACTTGGTTTTTTTTATTCATTTATTAACATTCATCAAACACTTTTCAAATATTTACAATCTGATATAAATATATCTCCATCACGCGATCATAGCCATATCATAGCATATGACTTTCTCAAGTAGTCACATTCTTATTTATTTCTTTAAATTACCGTATGACGTCATTTACGATTGTTTTTCTCTTTTTTTCATCGCTCTAAACTTTATTTTATGATTACGATGTTAATAAAAAAAGACATTCCTAATCTTTTTCGAATCATGCACATATTGAAATTGATTTAATGACACATAATAAGAATTTCACCATCAATAGAAAGTTATTAATTTCCGATAAATATTAATATGATCCATTTTCCTTTTCATAATAAATGATTTAGTGAATAAGGGTACATGACGCATAAAAATCGCAGGAAGAGAAAGTGTTGCTTGAGGATATGAAATAATTGCGAGCTTTATTAAAATTCAATTTTACCTTTATTAATTGATCTTTTTATTAATAGCAGAAATAATGATGAACAAAAACAAAAAAGTATGTCATGTGACGGAAAAAAAATAAGAGTATCATCAGATTTATAAAGAAAAAAAAAGAAGCAGTTAGATTTTAAAAGCAAGTTAGTAGATAAAAATAAACTCAGAATAAATGTTCTTAGAAGAAGAGGATTAAATTCAATCGATTCGACACTTTGTATTCAGTACAAACAATAGAGGAAGTATAATTTTAAACAAATTATAAAGATTCGTTGATCATTGGCAGATATTAAAGAGCAGAAATAGTATATAGATGCACGAAAAAAAACAAATTTTTTTGTGTATAGATCTTTTATATTGTAACAACAGGTGTTTCTTCAATTGGATCTTCAAGTATCCATGGTAACATATCATCTTCAATTTCATTTGAACAATCAGTGGAATTAAGACGCATTAATTGTGCGTCATATTGAGATTTTCTTCTTGGTGGTTGATAAGCTTCTTTAATTGTATCCCTATTTAAAAAAAAAAGATATTTAAAATTTTAATTATTTCGAAAGATTATTTTTTACCAGAATTGTTTAGACATAAAATAAATTGGTTTACCATATGGTAATCCATTAAATTGAACGGCAGCTGAAATGGTATATGCACCCATATTTTTCCATAAAATCCAATCTCCAATCACTAATTTAGGCATTTTAATTGATGTTTGAATGCAATCAAGACCATCACATGTTGGTCCCCAAATTGATGATGTAAATTTTTCATTGGATTCATTCTATAAGAAAAAAATGATATATTTATACTTGATTATTAATAATAAATGAAGTAAAACAAACTTTAGCAAGTAAACATGGTTCCGGAACATAATGATCATAGAGAACACAATTAAATGAACCATAAACACCATCATTGATGTAATACATATATTTCTCATCACCTGTTTCTATTTGAATAAATAAAGTTTAGTAATATTGTTTTTTAAGTAACAACTTACCATTATCGATCATATCTCTTGATGCAATAACATTTGTAGCTAATGAATAAGCAGATGCAACATAATAACGACCTGGTTCAGCAATAATTCGAACACTACCATCATCAGGAAAATGATTATCAATTGCTTGATTAACAGCAGCAGCAATTTCAGCAAAATAATCTTCTGTTCCTGTATTTCCTGGATAACCACCACCAATATCCAAAAGATTCATAGTAAAACCTAATTTATTTCCATAATTCATAATTGTTCGAGCATTTTGAATAGCATCAACAAATGCTTTGCTAGTCATTTGACCACTGCCACAATGAAAACTAAATTAAATTTCAATATAAAATTATTTCTTTGTTTGTCTTTTTGTTTTTTTATTACCTAACGCCAACAATTTCCATATCAATATCTTTAGCCTTTTCAATTAAACGACATGCTGTTTTCATATCAGCACCAAATTTCATTGAAAAACGGCAAACAGCGTTTGAATCATCAGTAACAAGACGTAAGACAAGTCTACAATTAAAATACAATACGACAATCAACAAAATAATCAACTAATTTACTTTGCACTTGGATATATTTGTTTAATTTTTAATAATTCTTGCTCATTATCAAATGTCATAGTTTCAACACCACATTCTTCTGCGTAACGAATATATGATGATTGTTTACATGGATTAGCATAGATGATACGATCAGCTAAAAAGAAATAAAAATAGTAAGAGATAAATAGGTATGATTTAAAAACTAACCAGATACACCTAAATCCATAACTTTTTTCATTTCACCCTATGAATCATCATGAATAATTAATAAAAACATAGAAAAAAAAGAATTTCGCAATTACTTTGCTTGCACAATCAAAACCAGCTCCAAGATAGGAAAGTAATTTGATAACGTTTACATCATCATTACATTTAACAGCTATAAAAAAGAAAAAATATCATTTCAAAAAAAAAGATTTTTAAGTGAACTAACCATAATGTGGTTTTACACGAGGCATTGAAGTAATCCATCGAATATGTTTATTGCATACATCTTCAAGATCAACAGCAAAAAATGGTTCTACTTCATCTTTCTAATAAGAAAAATATTCGATTGAATCAATTGCTTAAATAAAATTTTAATCGAAACTTACAAGTAATTCAATTTTCTTTTGAATGAATTCTTCAGCTGTATATTGACCTTGTGTAATAACCATTGGAATATCTTTAATTAAATGCATATTTATTTGTTTTTGAGAAATAGATTGAATATTGGAATATTGTTTGTACTGGATACAAAGTGTCGAATCACTTGATATTAAAAAATAGATTAAAAATGAAAAACAAATCATTTTACTTACATGGAGAAGTTGAGGGACTTGTTCAGCGATTAGATCCTTGTAATCGATGCTAGCTAAGTGGACCGGGTGTCCAAGGAAAGTCAATAAATTTTGAAGTTAAACAGACGTTTACCGATACAAAAGTTTTGGCAGTAATGCCCTAGAAATAAATCAGAATTTATCTTATTTTAAGTTAAATGATAAGAGATAAGAATTCATACTTTAATATGATCGCCTTGTCCTCTTTTCTTGGTAATAGCCTTGGACAATATTTTCGGGTGATTGAAAACACAAGTAAGAGCCTACTAAACGCAAGCAGACGATCGCAGTTGATTTATGTTTTGACGACGAGTGATTGTCGACTGCTTATAACTGCGTAGAGAGAAATAAAATAGGTGAAAGTGCAAATCTACAAATATTTGAAGAGAAAATAGTTGAAGGTAGAAAAGAGAGAGAGAAAGATATATAATAATAAAAAATGTCATAATATCTATCATCATGTATAAATCCAGTATATTGACGTACTAGTTATCTGACACATAGGGTAATACGTCGTATTTCGTTTTTTATATTAGAATATGTAAGGTTATATTAAAAAAGAACATAGATTTATATTATAAATAACAAATGACGCATATCGTATAGTGGTTGTTGACTATGGAAAAGACAAGAGAATGGCGGGTCCAAACCAATGAAAGTTTTCTTTTCTTTTTTATCATTGTAATGATTCATACTCGTTTTTACTTGCAGGTCGAGTCAAGTTGTATAAGAAGAAAAAAAATTGAGTGGATTACTTTTTTATACTTATATAATACGTTATTTTTATTATGAAAAACAAAACTCTATAAAAAAAATATTTTGTATCAAAAATAAATATAAGCTCAATTAACTATAGCAGAACTTTTTTTCATAAAATGAAAATAATAAAAACATAAATATTGAATTTGTATGTTTCTATGTACTTATTTTTGATCAGTGCGTAGGCTTGTTATTTTTCGAATGCAAACAAACCGACATATTTTTCCATCTACGTATGAATAAGACACCGTGAAATTTAAATTATTGTTAATTTATATATTTCCTCCATGGTCATTATTTTAATTGATTAAGAGGTTGACTATTACTGATTTCCGTACATGTCATGGTAAAGATATATAAAATATTCTTTTCAGATTTTTTTTCCCAACTGATAATGACCGAAGAGAAACGACCTGCATTCGGTTCTCGACATTTATCCGATGAAAAAGACGTATTTTCTCATAATGCTTGGTAATATATTTCAATAAAAATTAAACTAACCTTTAATTATATGATGTTAATGCTTGGAAAAGTCTTTTTTATTGATATTTTTTTGTTTAAAAGGGATGATGTTGAATGGAGTGAAGAACAAAGTGAAGAAGCTAATGCTATAATAGAAAAACAATATGAACAGCGAATGTCTCAGACAAAATGGGGTTCGTTTAAATAAAAGAAATTAATTAAAAATATTCTGACATATTCATTTAACTAGAAACTGTTGAATCTAATTTACCATCAGCATGGAATCATTTTTATGATATACATGAAAATAAATTTTTTAAAGATCGTCAATGGTTATTTACGGAATTTCCTGAATTAATACAATCCGATCAAAATCAATCGATGACTATATTAGAAGTTGGATGTGGTGTTGGTAATTGTATATTTCCAATAATACGTACAAATAATCTAAGTCAAAATTCGAATATGTTTCTTTATTGTTGTGATTATTCTTCGACAGCTATTGATATATTAAAACAAAATTCGGAATATAATACAAATTATTGTCATGCATTTGTTTATGATATAACAAGTTTAGAATCCTTGCCAGTTAAAGAAAATTCTCTTGATATTATAATAATGATATTTGTTTTAAGTGCAATACATCCATCCAAGCATGATGAAGTTATAAAAAATCTTGTTAAATATCTTAAACCAGGCCATGGTAAATTATTATTTCGTGATTATGGTTTATATGATATGGCGCAGTTAAGATTTAAAAATGATAAATGTATTGAAAAAAATCTTTATGCAAGATCTGATGGAACATTAACATATTTTTTTCATCAAGGTTTGAAAAAAAAACATTTTTTTATTTTTTTTTTCGAAAATAATTATAAACAAATTTTTATTTTATTTATAGATCAACTTGATCAGTTATTTACTCGAAATGGTCTTGTCAAAGAACAAAATATAGTTGATCGAAGATTACAAGTTAACCGTTCGAGACAATTGAAAATGTATCGAATTTGGTTACAATGCAAATATATAAGAGCATAGAGAAAAAGCGTTTGTTTTTTGTTTTATTTGTTATTAAAAAAAACGAAAAAGAGAAATTTCAAAAAGATTGTTTTTACATATGGTTAGGAACATGTACGAATCAACCAATTGTTTATTTATGGATTGCAAAGGACTAAGAGTATGTCTATGTTTTGATAAATTAAAAGCTTTATAAAGATCGAATGTTCATGAAAAAACTACAAAAACAATAACATGATGGACTTCAGTTAATAATGTCAACTTAAAATAGTTTGAATGCTAGAGAAACATGTAGAATAGTCAAGTTATTGATATAATGAAGTGAAAAAATGAATCATATATATATTTGAAAATATTTCATTAAATGTAAGGACAATTTAATTCAGACCTGAATTTAAAAGTTTGCATCCGACAAATTTTACTCATGAAATAAGTCGACTAGAAACTCAATATTCTCATATTTAAAGTAGACTTTCATGACTTACCTGTTATTTTCTTTTATATCAAACACATTTCACTGTTTGCTTTGAAAACACAATTCGAGTATTAAGATCGTGACGAACTTCAACGAATATATTAATAGATGATGTCATGATTCTAAATTTTCATCTACAAATCTTCAGTCGATAACAAATTCAATTCATCGTTAAAAATCATTCGAGATCTTTGTGACTTTTCCACAATTTTGATGAACTTAAAGTATATAGATTTTACAAAGTAGTCAATAACCTAGACAGACAAGACCTCTAAAAAACGCGTTTAAAATTCGTAAATACACTGTTTTTACGAATTTTTAACGCGTTTCTACGCAATTTTTTGGAAAGCGTTTTACTGCGTTAAAATCTACTCCGTAGTTAATCGTTGAAACGCGGAATTCAACGTGGTTTTACACGTTATTTTGTGAGTTTTAACGCTTTAATCACAATAGACAAAGCTAACGGAGATAAAAATCGTAGAAATGTGTGCGTTTTCCGATTTTATTTTTGTTAAAATTTCAAGATTTCTACGCCGTATTTCTCCGTTTTTTTTCGAGTTTTGTCTGTCTGGGAAATAAGAAAGGAAACTGCTTATATAGAGTAGAAAAAGATCAGTATAAAATATCTAGTTTACTGTTCAGATTCTACATGACCTGAAGAACGGAAAAAATGTTTTTTTGATTGTGTTTCCAATAAAAAAATTACATTGAAAAAGGAGAAATTAAATATCTTATACGGAAATAATCATCTTGAAGAAGAATAATACATTTTATAAAAATCATGTACAAAATATACCGTTTAATTTAAAGACTGATATTTAACTGAGCAATAATTATATTGAATAAGCAATCGTTTACACTATCACCGTCATTTACATTTTCAATTTAAAATATAAAATTCGAAGTGATTTTTACTATATTGATAACAAATATGAGAATATTTATTATAAATTTTCGTCTAAAAACTATCGTTGCCATTCATTTTAATATAAAGTTATATTAGTCGACATTAGAAACTATTAATATCCTATACATTCTTGTTCTATTTTATACGCGCTGATAAACTTTCAAACGTAACTAGTGAAGTGTCAGACATTAATTAACAATTGAATAGTGACAATTCCAGGTGCTGGTCTTATGATATTTTCAGATGAATAACAACTAAAGTGTCTTTTTTAAGACATAAAAATATATTATTTCCATTATAAAATAATTTCTTTAGTGATCATATTTAAGTGAAAGTGCTTACTAAATGAAGTTTATATAATATATTTATTGATACAATAGTGTACATTCTATTAGAATATTGAAACAAAAACTTCAAAAATGTTTATTTGATAAAATTAGTATTATCTATGTCGATATGTTCATGTTAAACAAGGTTAAGAGGTAAATTGTCCTCAGACATCTGTGTTTTCAAAAATAATACTGTTTTAATGATAATTACTAGGTAATAAAGAATTCATACTGTCTTTTTAGAAAAAGAAAACATCCGGGTGTTATGTTCTTTTTACCGTTGAAATTTCTATTATTATCTTTAACAGCGAAAGGAATCTGATTCAATTTTTAGATATTCATGTGATAAAATATGTACACGTGTTACAAAAGCATTGTTATAAATAGTAGAAGAAAAAAAACCTTGATATTATTTATTATTAATAATGGTAGATAGAAAGTCTCCATTGATTTTCACATGAATAAATACTAATCCTTTTACTTATTGTTAACGAATGTCTATTTTTATCTAATAACTATCTATGGTAATGTCTGTTTGATGTACCTAGACGTATAATAACTCAGAAGAAAACGTTCTCATTCTTGTAATGTCACTAGCTAAAAGAACATCTGGATGATTTTCTTTTCTTAGTCATTAGTGATATATAAATGCAAATTTATTCGGTATTTATGATTGAAAACACGTGTACTTCTATAGACATGACTTATCAATGCATGTGTAACAGACAAATATTTAAAAATAGCTTTATGTTACGTTCGTATAAAAAAAAGTCATGAAAACGAATAACAATCAAATATGCTAACAAAATAGAACCATTATTTTATTCTCATTTAATATGAATAAAGTGTTTTCAATCTATTCATATTTTTCTCACTTATATCCGAGGTTTTTCAGTTGATCAATTATATACTCTCGTCTTTTATTAACATATGCTATATATATCGCATAAACTAATCAGAATAGCTTTAATGGTTGATTATATGTTATTAAATTACTAAGCTTCTTCTTTTCTTTAGAATAAGTTGCCCTTTTTCAATGACATTTTTTATTATTCAAATCTTCTTTTGACTTTCCTTTTTCTTCATTAAATGTATACAATCATAATATCATCCAATGTGTACGTGTTATATTAATACGTAAAACTTGTATTATCATATAATATTATCCAATTGAATTGACATCTGTCATTATATATGATTACTACTAATCAGTGATAAAAGAATATATTTTCTTTTTCTTATTTTTTTTTACTCGTGCCCCCGTTTGCTTACTGTCTTTATCTCCTACGATCAAACAAGTAAACATGAGCACACATGTAAATATATTTTCATTGAATGATTAAACAAAAAGAAGAAGAAGAAGAAAAAAAGAAACTAATATGCAATTTATATGACATTTAATAATAATATTTTTCTCTTTCTTCCTAATAAGTCAATATATTCGTTCGATAATCTGTATTGATACTATTTGATCTTGAACGTTGACGAAAAATTTGTTTCATTATAGATAGACATGTGATATTCGATGATGATTGGTTATTAGTACTACTTCGGGTAGTTTTTGACGATAGAAATTGACTTAATAACGAACGTTTATGTTGTTTTGTTTTATAATTACTATGTGTGTTCATATTATTTACATTTCGATCATCCATTTGTAATAATAAAACAGATTGATCAAATATAACAGGAAAATAATCTAATTTAAATGATGATGGATGAAAATGTATAAGTGCACCACGTTGAAATGAATATAAATTAAATTGATTTGGTGTATGTGGTGGTAAATGATGATTTAATAATGAACGTAAATATTCAATTGTTTTATCAGATGACATAGAAAATGTTATACGAGAATGATCTGATAATCTTTCAGCTGTTATAGTAATAATTTTTCTAAAATAGTTAATTATTCTTATGAGATATATAAAAAATATAGTCTAAATTAATAAACTTACGGTTTAACTTTTGTTTGACGTATTTTCATGATAGTGAAATGTATTTCATATATATATATTAATGAATATCTAAAACAAGAATAATAAATTAATGATATATTTATATATTGATTAAGATGAGTGATGTTAAATGATCATACAAAAAAAAAAAAGAAGAAAATTACCTTGTGTCTTTTCTTTCTTCAGGGGGGTGTTTTTTCTTTCTATCTGTCTGTCTTACTGTTAATTTTCTCTCACGGTCTATCGCTTGTACACTTGTGTAAGTAAAATAAGTCTATTCGATAATTTAAAGTAAATGGAGGCAGAATATTTTAGGTAGATTATTTGATAAAGAATATCCCATTTATTTTTCAATAAATATGCAAACAGTTTTGATATATATATATATATATATTCAGAAAAAGGAAAGAAAAGATTTACATACTATGTTGAAAATATGCATCTTTACATTTGACTCAGTATATTCTTCAGTCTACATTCAGGTCATAATGACCTTAGAAAGATAAAATAAGCAGAAAAAAAAGAATAATAATATGCCAATTTTATATCTATCATACCAGAAGAAACACATCGAATAATTTTATAATAAGGTTAATGTGACGTCATTAATCATTATTTCGATCTATACAACACGAAATAGATACACAATACATTTAATTATTCACCATTGAATGCGTCAATCTATTTACGTATATAGTAATATTTGTACAAAATAAAAGGAACTAACATTAACTATAAAATATATATATATATCACTAGTAAATAACGATAAGGTTTTCTATATTCGACTCATATCTATATGGTGGTTTCTTACTGACATAAAACTAGGATATTTATTTGTTACTATATTTATTATCATTACATTGACAGTCAATTTTTCATTTAAGACATTAACTTTTGATAAAAGAAAAGAAAAAATATATATATATGTACTCACATCAGGCAATCTTAATAACATAATAATATTCTTATATTTATCAAGATCTCGTGATATAAAGAATGAATATAACTGTTTCTTATTAGTCAAATAAACTATGTATCTCGAATAAAATTAGAATATTTCTATAGTGATAATAAATTTGATTAAATAGTTAATCGAAATTCCTTTGCACAGCTGTTATTCACCTGATATATTAGCGAATATAAGAACAAACTATATTTTACTCGTATGCGTACAGAAACTTAGTAAAGATGAAAGAGTTTAAATACGATTTTTCTATCTGAATATGTTGTCATGCTTAATTTATCATTGACAGAAATATCTACAAATTATATATGTCTACGCATAATCTAATGCCAGTCACGGAATTAATATAAACATAAGCTGCGTGTGATGACAAGGTTTCAGTGTAAAAAGAAATAACAACAGGAAGCTATTGTCTATGTAGCAGATCACTATGACATTCAGTATTTTATTGGACTCAGACAAAATTAAACTCTAAGTTAATTACGGATTTATATAAATAACAATATAAGATCGTTCTTTTTTCAATGTACTTTCTATGTTAGGTGATGAATAGAAAGATGACACCTTGTGTATTATAAATACATTTTAAGAAGATAAAAGAATATCATTAGTCTATAGCAAAACATGTTTTGGAATAGACTGAACTAAAAAAAACTCGATTTCCTAGAATCCTACCGTAACATCTATATTCATATTTTTTTCGAAATATTAATCCTTGAAGTTTCCAATACAGATAAGATTTGAATTAATTTTGTGATCATATTCATAATAGAAGTTAGATAAACTAATATTAATTTGTATTATAAATAATCAACACAAATACTAACCACATATGAAAGTTTCCTATATATAAATGCGATATTGTTATACCAGAATCTGTAGTTGATAAAGTATTCGTTCTTGACAGTATCAAGGTTTATAAAAATTATGACGAGTGTTGTTGTTTGTATGAATAATAGGACGAATGCGGACAAATTATATAAAATCTGTCTATAGGATGTCAAGGATTATTATCCATCTGTCGCAATGGTTTCTTAAATGACATAAATCTTATAAAAAAATGTCAGTAATAGTTTGCGGTAAAGTCATTGATAAAACAGGTCAGGACAGTGTGTAACAAATAGCTTACTTTGATTCACTGAGTAAGACAGTTGTTGTTGTCGTCAAGAAGGTATTGCGTATCCTATTTATGATTTGCAAAAAACAAACGAAATGATTAGTTAAGTACGATGAATAATAACACATACAAATTTTCTACAGATACACGTCAAAAATACATAAATACAGTTTGTTTAAGTAAAGAAATGACGCTGCATACCTTTTTTTTTTGAATGCAATATAAAAATTACAAATATTAATATGAGTGTAAATTAAGTTAAATTGGGCATGGAAGTACGTATTTCTATGTTCGTTGTCTTGATGAAGAATCTTAAGAACATACATTTCGATCAATTTCTTTATTATGTTCAGTTAGGTACAGTGAAATATAAAATATTATTGCTAAAAAAAATCTTCAATGGATTGGAAAAATCAATATTTTTATTTCTTTTATATTCTAAATATACAAAGATAATGATTATAAAACATAATTAGTTAAACTCGTAAGATTTTTATTTATTAAAAAACACTCTATTTCTTTCCTGACATACTTTAAAATGCTTGGAGGAACATATCGACCATAGTCTTATTTCATAAGAACATTAAGAGGCCATTATGACCGAAGAATATCTTCGATTGATGTTGAGTTTCAAAAGTACGATACATATAAATTATCTTTTTTTGGAAAATCGCACTTATTCTTAGGACTTATAATTACTTTCCTATAGTCAGATAGTTCAAATTTCAAAGATTACATTAAAATGCATAATTAAGAAGTAGAACATAAATCTTATAAGAAGTTATCGTGATAAAAGAATTATAAAACGGTTCTTTTTAACATACATTTGTAATAGTTCCAGGTAAATACAATAATATAGCTTCTTTTTTATTATATTTTTGTGTTATTTATAGAATTGGTGATGGATATAACGAGAATATACGTCAGACATTGATGTTTATTTTTTCTAGCTTTATGAATACGGTTATTATTGTTTATGCCAATCAATCTATACTGTATAGAAAATATTCTATTTCCTACCTTAAACGATTCATAAATATTATGGTATTATTCACTAGTAAAAAATATTGCTCAATCGATTATATTATTCCTATTTACATAGGTTTCTTGTAAGACAAGTTTTATTTAACAAAACACAATGATCTAATTAATAATGAATAGATCAAGAATCTATCTGACAATAAATTTGAACATTTGAGATAATGATGATTGGTTATAAATATCTATTTGTAGGAGGAATTTGTAGATTGATTACGTCTAAACATTCATGAGCAGTTTTTTGATTAAATTCAATTGCCAATAATCATCGAGATAAATTTTCTTAAGATATTTCTTTTGTTCTTTTTTAACTAACCAAATACTCCTGTGATCATTTATCAAGAGACATAAGTATAAATTGAAAATAGACAGTAATACTTTCTAAATGTTCCATATCATTCAAAGTATATTACAACAGGTATAGAAATCTAATGAATTGCCATTTATATATTTTACATGAATTACTGAAAGTACTCTTACATAAAACTGCGATATAGAAATTCATCGAGACAATATATCATATAATTCGTATTACTAAATAAAACAAACTTCCTATTGTTAATGACCGTCAAAAACAAGATTGAAGCAGAAGAAGAAAAAGCAAAAAAACACTGTTTTCGTATTTTCAATACATATTGTAATACACAGAAATCTTTATATAGATATTTTCTTTTGTTAAAAAACTAAGTTCTATTATTTTTCGTTGTTAATTATTTATCTACTGTTCGGATTCTTCATTAGTTGATGTACGCATTTTATTTTCATTAAGTGCATCAATAATTTCCAGACGAAAATTATTTAAATATTCACGCATTTTATCATAGAGTGATTTATCGGTTTTAATTGATTGCCAACATATACCATGAAGATGACAATATTCTATATAAATGTATAGAGAAAATTAAAAAGATTTGTATGAAATTAAAATGAACTACGTACCTTTACAAATTATATCTGATGGCAAAACAAATTTATTATTTTCACTAGTTGTATAAAGATATTTAAGTGAATGTGATGATGATGGTATATTATACATAGGCCAACAATTATATTGTGAACGTATTTCTGTTTTAAGATGTTTTAATAAGATTTTAACTATTGTTTGATGTAAATATTCATTTGTTGTACTATATTCATCTTTAAATGGATTAATTATATTAAGAAAGAATAAACATTTTCTTTCACTTTGTAATTCATATTGAGTTGAATATTGTTGAATATCAAAATTTGAATGTATATAAACAATACGAGGTTTCTCACTTATTGAAGGCATTTCTTATTCTAAATCTCGGAACGTTATTACCGAGAAAATATTTGTATATTTATATAAATTACACATGATAAATTGTCGCTACATTCTATTAGCATATTGTATTGAATATAGCGCTTGATTGAAGTCCAGTCGGAAAATGTAAATTTCATTTGTTTTCAATGAATCAGTTGTCAAAATTTTTATATTTGCTTTTCCTTGATCATTAAAAAATAATCTTCAGATAACTGATATTAAAATTAATACAGAATATTTTTAAAATAAAATTTATATTCTATTTATGAACTAGATGGCATACGAATCAAATTCGTTATGTATAAAAAAAATTTAAATATATAATAAAGAATCTTTTATTTTTCGTTTTTTAATGGTGTATCGAGTTTTTGCAGAATTGTTATAGATGTATTAAATCCGTATAGAGCTATACATATTTCATATTCATATTCAAGGACCACTTTAAAACAGCTTGTATTTTTCTACATAACGATATAGACCTTGATACAATGTGATGGGAACTAGTTTTATCATCGATTGACACAACTGAAAAGTCCAGACTGGTTTTGTTATTCATAACAATTTTTCGAAAAACGAGTTACAGAAGATATTTTACTGTTCTCGTCTGGAAAACATATTGAAAGATCAATGAAATTGATTAGAGCAAGTTTTTTTTGTTGAAGTTGACGTTGTTTGGCTTATTTATTAATTATAATGTAAATTTTGGCATGAATATTAAGCTTAGAACAATATCAAGAATGATAAAGCTCAAGTTTTTACAGCTTAGAGATTTCGTCACCTATGAACTAATATAAAAACGCTATGAAAATGTTTTAGTAAAGTTGATTCTCTGTGTTCTCCAAAATTATCCTAAGAACTAGTTTCCACTAATGATAAACTTGACATGGTGATGATGTATTATCGAATCTGATGTTTTTCTTTTTACGTTAATTATCTTCCTAATATCTGAGATATATTTCAGAGAACAATTCGATAAATTATCGGAGTTTATTCATCAAGTATACTAAATGTAAATTGTTCGAATAATATCTTCTTCGAAATAGAAATATATCTATTGATCATCTTGTTGTTTACTCATAGCATATTAAAGACGCAATAGATAGAAAGGATAAACAGTCCCTCGTTCTCTATTCTCGGATAAAGATAGATAGACTTTTTAACCTAATATGTATATACGTTGTAGTTTTTATGTTCTTTTTTTGGTCTAAAGAAAAGAAAATCGGGTAATAAGAACGAAAGAATCTGCTACCGTCGATTCCGTATAAAAGGCGAAGCATAGTGTGCACACTCTCTCATATATTCATTCTCTTCTCACAATCGTCAAACAAATCAATATTATACAAATGGAAACTATTAAGAACGCTGCTAATGCTGTTAGCGATAAAATCAGTGTATGTATTAATTTACTTTCAATTGAATAATTTAATAGTTTATTCATTATTTTTTCTAGGAAGTAATCAGTGGTTCATCAGCAGAATGTCACAAGGAACAAGCTAAAGATTCAAGCAATACTGTTGGTGAACGTGTTGGTGCTGGCATTGATTATGTTAAAGATAAAGCTGAAGAAGCTGGTCATGCTGCATCAAAAGAAGTTAATAAACAAAAAGCAACGCATTAGAAAAAAATAATGCAAAACTTTGAATATATATGTAATCTCGCTGTTATAGATGTGTATTAATTTTTTTGTATCTTTGAAATATTATGTATAATAAAATTGAAATAATCATCCTTTTCGTGCCATTTCTATCTCTTATTGAACGTCGTAATAGAAAAAAAAAGATTAATTGAATAGATAGACTTTTATCATTGATTGTACTATTATAATCTCGTCAGTAGAAGTATGGAGAAGTACTGATGTATGCCTTTCTTTACTTACATGCCACTATCACATGTAATCTACACGTGCTGGGATAATTATTATTTGGTGAAGGTCGAAATATTAATACCAGTACATATCAAGGATGCGATGAATATACCAAACAACTTTTGGCGTTAGTGTTGTTATTAATAGATCGTTAGGATGTTTTCTTCTTGGGAGATTCAATGAGTACAGATACAACAACTTTTTCTTTTTATGTATGACGGAGTATACTTACCATTCATCATGCCTTTAGCAATTTCACTATGTTAGTAGTGACTACATATGTAAAGTAGCAATGTGAGTTTTACTTATCTTTATGTAATCATTTACAAAATTAATTATTAGCAGCAAACTTTGATACCTGTTAGGTATTTTTAATCAAATTTCATTCTCATGAGAGTATAATGAGATTTACACTATAGTATGTGTAAAGAAAAGGTTGCACTTTTTATTACTATTTATTATATAGTAAATTGATACTTCTGTTGTCAATAAAATTTATAAAGCATCGTTCTATCGTGAGCTTCACTATAAGAATATCACAATTCTACCATCAATATGCAAGTTAAGAAAGTTTTCTTTTCTAAATTTTAAATATACATAGCATCTCAATAAATAGTGAAATTTACATATAAATGTATTAAATGATAATGAAATGATCGATAAAAATAATTAAAATAATCTGTAAATTTTATAACAATGTGAAAGCACTATTCTAAAAGATATACAAAAACTGCATGAATTTACGTAAATGTCATTGTTTATTAATGAAGCATTCTAAGATAGTATTCTCAGGATCAGTGTATTTTTGAGTATCAAATTTATGTTTATTTATTTGCCTGACATTCATTATCTCAAGCGAGATTTCTGATGAAGAATAATTGTTACAGTGACACTCGAAATGTTTTTTTTCGAATACTATTAATACAGATTCTCAATTGTAATGAATAACATTTCTATTCATAGTTAATTTTTATATCGAACATATGTCGCCTATTGATGGTATTTTACTTTATCAATGTGTATTTCTAACATATCAATGCATTTTGAGACAGCTGATATCGAACCAATAGAAAAAAAGAGTGAAATCAGAGAGAAAAAATGTTGGTTGACAAACTGTTTTGATTTCTGATTAAGTTAGATTAGATATTATATTTATTGTTTTCGATATCTTTTGATTGTAAAAATATTATTTTCAAATCAATTTCGAAGATTATTTTAGTTAATTTATTCGAATGGGAGTCCTATCTGATCCGATTTATCGACCATTATCGAGTAAATTTATATAATTTTCTTGTTTTTGCGCACTAATAAATATGATTGTTCTTTTCTTGTAGTAACATTTATCGAATACCAAGAAGGTAAATAGAAATTTCAAATAATACTAAAGTTTTTTAAATTTTTTCATAAATTTAGGTGATAAAATAGGATTTTTTTTGGCATGGTTTTCAATGTTACCATTTATCTATATTGTTTCTTTATGTACGTTAATTCTATTTCGACGTGATATACAAACAGTAAATAAAGTTTTTCTTTCTAATAATGACTGATTTATTTATTTTTGTATAGATAATGTATTTCGGTGGTTTTTGTGTATCTGAAGTTTGTAATACTGTTCTCAAAAGAACTTTTAAACAAGCACGACCAGAAAGAAGTAAGAGGGAAATGTAGTAATTTATTCAATTAGTGACAAAAAGGATGTGATGAGGTTTTACCGTAGATATAATTATGATTAGTTACACTTTCATATAGTAGACGCTGTTAAATCTCATCATGATCTCATTCTATCAAATATATTTATTTAAATTTTATTTTAGCTCGAGATCGAATGGGTCTATATGAAGTTCATGGTATGCCAAGTGATCATGCTCAAACATTCTTCTATTTTATGACATATTTAGCTATATTTGTTATATTAAAGTATATATCTTTATAATTTATCTAGAATAATTCTTATTATTAATAAATACTAGATCTCAAATGCCTGGTACACCACGTATTCGTTCAATGCGTAATCGTTTTCTTGTTGTTGCTCAACTTATTACAGCAACTATAGTTGCTTATAGCCGGTATAGATACAAATTTTAAAAATAAAATATTGAAATTTTTTATTGATGTATATTAAGAGTTTATCTTCATTATCATACAGTTTTACAAGTTGTTGTTGGTGCATTTGTTGGTACAGGATTAGGTTGTGTTTGGTATTATTTTGTTAATTATCATTTTATGAAATATGTTCCATTTATAATCGAACAACCGTTGGCAAAATTTTTTCTTATTCGTGATTATACTCCTATACCTCGTATAATTCATTTTCAATATGAAAGTGAATATGCTGAAGCTAAGTAAGATTTATTGAATTATAAATTAAATATTCATTGTTTTTATTTATTAGACGTTGGCGAGAAAGACGAGCTAATTATTCAAAAGATCAAACATCAGCATCACAATAGATAACATTAATTTTTTTTTATATAAATATATTATTTCAGCTAATTACATAGATATTTGTTTGCTTTCTATGCTACTAACATAAAATAAAATAAATCAAGCTGATTACAAGTCATATTTATTGCTTTTTGTTTTGTTCTAGAATATTAATGTTATCCAGTAAGACAACTAGTAATAACAACAGCAATAACAATAATAATAATAATAACAATAATCATAGACGGCAATGGTCAGAAGGTGTTGTATCGACAGATAAATTAAGTCGATTATATACAGGTATATAATTGTATGAATTATCTTTTTTAAAAAAATGTATTTTTCTTAGATGATGATCGTCACCTTATACAATATTTGGTAAATGAATATCTCTTGAAAGGTTCAAATGATGTACTTGATCTTATTCGAAATTGTCCAAATGAATGCTTTGAGGTAAATATTATTAAATTTCAAGATGTTTAGTTTTCATGGATCTTAGATCTACTAAAAAACTTTTAAAATTAGGCACTTGTCGATATTATTTGGAATACAACATTTCAACCAATAGATACAAATGAAGATGATCTAGTGATTTATAATCAACGTTCTTCTCTTCTTTCATCATCACCAACTAATGCTCATCGACAAGATGCACGTCGACGTTTAGCAATTATTTTTATTGAAATATTTAAATTATTAGCAACACCAACTACTCATGGTGGTCGATTTGATAAACAACGACAACCACGTCTTCTCAATTTTCCTTCACAAGCTCGTCAATTAATAAATGTAAATAAATAAGACTTGGATTTTATTTAAAAACTAAAAATTTTTCTTTAGTATGAACCTGATATATGTGGATTAAGTTGTCTTGCATTAGCTTCAATTATTCTTATTAATCCTCTTATTATTCATCATCAAATAACATTGGTAATCGATGCTCTTAAATATTCAGCTAATCAATTTATTAAAGCAAATCGTAAAATAAAATATTTTTATGTATTTTTGATATAAATAGATATCGATTCCTTTTTTTTAGTTTCTTTCGATACACCATCGACATTTGCTGTTTCTATTTATTCATTATTCTATTTATTGTATATACTTTATCCTAATAATCTTCGCCGAGAACTTCAACCAGACGCTACACAAACAATTAATAGTAATGAAAAATCTACAAATAGATTGGGTATTGAAAAAGTTTTATTGGTAAGTTAAGATAGTTTCATCAATTCAGGAAGCTTTGTTTTAATATAATTGATTTATTTATTTTCTATTTTTAGCCACTCTGTTATCATTTTAAACTTCAACCAAGTGTTGTTTGTGGTACATCTGATATTGAAAAACAAGAAAATCGTTGGCAAAATGAATCTTGGCAACAATTAATTGCTCATGGTGATCGTGTAAGATATTTTTATTTTCATAAACTTGTTTTTTTTATCTATTTTATAAAATTTCTTTTAAAAATAGTATGTGGTATCGGATGATATATCTCCATTATTATTAAATGATTTTAAAAAACGTAAAGATGAAGAAATAAAAAAAAACACAGATTCATGTCGAGTATGTTATATAAAACAAAAAATAAATCTTCTTTTCAATTTATTTCTAGTTTGAAATTGATCAAATAATTCGTATGTGTAATGAATACACTGAAAGTGTTTTACATCCAAGTGAAATTAAAAGTCAGATAGTTAAAAGTACAATTGAGAAACAATATGGAAAAAAACATTCGGTTGATTCTTATTCCAATTATTCAGGTAAGAAAAATAAATAATAAAATAAATAAAATATTTGAATTTTTCATATTAAGATTCATATTGTCAAACATATGAACAACAATGGCAAACAACAATACAAAATGGACAAATGAATCTTTCACGTATACAAGTTTCTGATGATATGAATCGACGTCATAATAATAATAATCATACAAATGGAACATCAATAAAAAAAGATGCCAATACAAATCAAATTGATCTTAATATACATGCAAAAGTACAACTACAACTTGATATGCTAGATTGTAATTATGAACAAGATAAAAGAGAATATTATGCACAATTAATAAGAGATTCGAAAAAAACAACAGCTATGCATGAATTAGATAAAGAATTAAAAAATCAAGTAAGATATTTGAAAGATAAATCCTTTCTGTTATAGTTATAACTAAATGAAATTTTGAATAATTATTTAGGAAGTGCAATATGAAGAATTAATCATGAGTCGTCAACAAAAATGTCCAATAATTCATGATGTACGAAATCGAATCAAAGAATTTCATCGTATGAATGAAACATTTTATAATTCTCTATCATCTACACAAGTGTATGACTTTAGAAAATTTCTTTTTCGAAAATTCTTTTTTCTTCTTTCTTTATCAATTTAGTGAATTGAAAACGGAAGAAGATGAACATTGGCAACAACGTTCTGTAATTAATGAAAAACATTCAAAATTACAAAATGAATTACATGATTTAGAACAAGTAATTAATATTTAATTCTTCTTCTTTTTTTTTAATAGTTATTTTATTTCTCTTAAAAGACAAAAAATTCAATTGAAAATGAAATACGTGAAATTCAACGACATTTATTTGAATCAAAACAAGATGCTAAACAATCAATTGAATTACGTGATACAATCGATCAACTATATATTGATTTAATTTGTACAAGAAAAAAACATCAATTATTACATAATGCTTTATTTAATATTAAATTTAAATCAACAAATGTTGAAAAATTACTTGTTATATATCAGAATGAAGAAAAACAAGAAGACATAACATTAGATGAAAAGAAAAAGAAATTTAATGATTATAAAAATCAACTTGATAAACAAGTATAAGAGAATTTTGAATTTTCACTTTTATAACTATTTTTTTTCTTATTTAGCAATTTGATCTGACAACAAAACGTAATGATTTTAATCAAACAAGAAATATGAATACACATAAAATAAGTATTATACGTCGACAAATTGATTCAATACGTATATGTCAAACACAATTACATACAATGAATATTAAGAGTCAGATTGTTCATAAATAGAAAAATCAAAAAAAACTGGATTCTTTTTATTTTTCTTCTTCCTTGGACTTGTTTCTTTTATAGATATAATTAATAAAACTCGAATTACTATTGATCTATTGAAATTCATTTAGTATTACGGGAATGATGAGA